GCACGAATGCTTCAAGATTGCCGGTCCGGAAAGCTTGAGCTAGCAGTAGTACAAAAACAATCCGATTCCTTAGGAGAGCCGGCGGACTATCAATTACAATTTGTAGAAAAGCGCAGTTTTAAAAATTTAATTCATTTGTGTCTGCCCAGTCGAGCGGCTCCTTTAAATGTGGTATTATTCTATATGAGCAGCAGGTTAGATGCAATACAGGTAAATATGCAAGATTTATATATATGTACGTATTTCTCATATTCTTCGTGGTTTAAATGTAGACAAGAAACCAATCGCAAGAACATCAAATACAGGCACTACAACAGGAAGTTGAAATGCATTTACGTACAATTGAACAATTGAATGGGGATAATAGTAAACTAAAAGAAGCCCTGATTGATAATAGTCGAAATTTAAATCAACGGCATTCAGAAGAATTACAGCATTTGCAAGAGAGCTTACGAAAAGCATCTGAGCAGAGACACCTCGATAATGAACGTAGTCAAAAGACGATTACGGCACTACAATTGCAAGCGGATAAATTAATAGCTGAGAAGAACAATCTGCTTTCTGAGAAAATGTGAGAATATTGATTATGTATATTCTTAAATATTAAAAATAACTTATCCACCTTTGATTAATTTATCCTTCCTTATAGAAAGGAACAAAAACGCTTCGAGTTGCTTAATGAGGAATTGGCTGGCGCCAAATCACAGAGTTCAACATTGAAGGAACAAATAGAAAGACTACACGCTGAAATATCGAAATTGAAAAATACGGAGCGTAAAAATGAAATGCATTTAACCGATGCGCGCAATCATATATCGGAGATGCAGGAGAAGTTTAAAAAATATGATAAAGCTAAAGTAAAAGTTCAATTTAGAAAAAAAANAAATAGAAAGACTACACGCTGAAATATCGAAATTGAAAAATACGGAGCGTAAAAATGAAATGCATTTAACCGATGCGCGCAATCATATATCGGAGATGCAGGAGAAGTTTAAAAAATATGATAAAGCTAAAGTAAAAGTTCAATTTAGAAAAAAAAA